AGAAACAAAAGCACACCCCTAAAGCCACAGCACATTCCTCCTTGCCCCCAGCCCCAAATTTCCCACGCTGCCAATTTCAGAGTTTTATGTGGAGCCAGAGGGGCCTAGGCTGTTATCTCTTTGGGGGTGAAGTGAAGGGAGGCTCCAACTAAGCACAGAATTATCTTTTTAATCATCACATCCCTATGACAGACACTCATATCCCTGTCTACCAGGCAGGGGGTCAGCTGCTCAGAGAGGTCAAGTAACTTCCCTAAAATCCCACAGCTGGTAAGCAGGAATGTTGAGAATCAAATAGAAGACTCTCAGCGGTAGGCTTTGCTTACCAATTAGTGGCTGCGTACATCAGTACCTAGCACCTAGCAAATCCTCAGATATTTGCTGGATGAATGGAGGTCAGTGCTAAGAGTCACAATGATTTAGAAGTGGTCAAGGGCCCTCTGCGGGTGGACAGGTCTGCAGCCCCGGTGCAGGGCCCCATGAGGGCCAGAGAGTCGTGTCAGGAGTGTCCCAGGGCTTGGTGCTAAACGCTGCCATCTCCGGCTTCAGAATCTGCCAGCTTCTCAGTGTTATCCCTGGGGGCCTTCTGCAAAGAGGAAAAGCTTCCTCTCCCACCCACTCCAGCATCTAGAGGCTCTGCCGCCCGAGATTGGCAGCGGGACCCGTGGCATCGCTGGAGGGGCCGGTGGTGCTCGTTGCGAAAAGAGAGGAAGTGACTCTGCACAACGTAAGTGGCCTCTGCTGAGTCCCCAACATCGGCTGGACCCCAGCCGCACGCCTTGCTGGGCTCAGCACCTCAACTAGACCAACTTGTGTTGAGGAGGAGGGAAGGGGCGAACAGGGAACTGTGTTCTGCATGCTTTGCTATTTATAGAACCATAGGCCTGCCCGCCCACTGGAGAGAGCACCAGCTTAAGAATCGGAAGAGCCAGATCTCAGGGCCACCTGTGTCACTCAGCTGTGGGACTACGGGAGCCCCCCCCCCCACTTTTCTAAACCTGTTTCCTTGGGTACAAAGTGAGGGAAATGGGATTTGCCCTTTTGGTTTGGGAGGGCTATCCCCCCTTTACTGCTTCTCAAGCAGTGGTGCCAGAGTAACCTTCCTAAAGTACCGTTCAGGTGGTCAGCTCTGCCGAAGAACCTTCAGTGGCTCCCCAGTGTGCACGACCCACTGCCCGAGGGGCCCTCCCGGTAGGCACCTTCCTGTTCAATGTGGCCTTTCACACCTGCTCACCCACGTTCCCAGCAGGACCGGGTGTTTCTGGGAGCGTCTCCCAGCCCCGGGACCCAGGAGGCCCCACCTCCAGAAGAACTGCTGTGCCTCCAAGCTGGGCCACGGGAGATCAGGTGTTAGAGCCAGAGCCCTAAAATGGGGTTCGGGGCTGACTCCACCTGGCGGCGGCTAGAGGACTTTGGGGCAAGTCGTTTTGTCTTTACAGATCGCAATTTCTCATGTGCAGCTGTCCCTCCAGCTGTGGGGCGAGGACCTGAGAATTGAGGGGAGGCGCGTGGACATCACTGCAGGCATGGGGCAGACGGCAGGTGCAGCTACCCCTCTCCCATCTCCGTCTCGGGTAGAGATCGAACGTGTGCCACTCACAGATACAATTTATCAAACAGTGTTTAAAGAATTTTTAGGTTATCTGCCCATATTTAAGATTCAGTAAATGTCGCATTAAAATCCAGGTATGTGTATCTTTTGAGAGACCAGAAGATTTGTCCACACGAGGCCCACAACCCTCCACGGCAACATGTGCGTGGGCACAGCCTTGCAGCCTGGCACAGCCTGCCGCCTCACGTGGACGCTGCCAGGCCCTGGCCTGTGTGCAGTTAATAAAGCATTTCAATGCACATTATCTTTTTAAATCCTACAGCCACCCAGTGACTTAAGGAAGGGGCTATTGCTCCCATTTTAGAAATGAAGGAACGGAGGCTGAGAAGGTTAAGTGGCTTGAACTCGGGTCTCCTTGCAACGGCACACTGTTCTCCAATGGCCTTGATGCCCCAAGCTGGAGCAGGGTTTCCTGCCTCGTCCCTCCAACAGGCTGTGAGCTCCCAGAGGGAGGGGCTCCATCAGCTCAGGTTGAATCCCTGCCCTGGGCTCACAATGAGTGAAAACAGGCAGGGCTGTGTCACCAGGTCTGTTTTTCTTACCGATGTCTATCTGGCATGTAGCAAAGTGCCTGGCATGCAGTAACCTTTCTAATTTTTCAGCGGACAAATAAAGAGTGTTAAATGGACTATAAGATCCTAATGAACCCACCTAAAAGATACTATTTTTTTAAAAAGTCAAGGTGTGGGCGGGGCAAGGGGGGGCTGCGCCTGGGTGGCTCAGTTGGTTAAGCGTCTGACTCTTAGTTTCGGCTCAGGTAGTGATCTCACGGTTTCACGATTTCAAGTCCCACATCAGGCTCCGTGCGGACAGTGTGGAGCCTGCTTGGGATTCTCGCTCTCCCTCTCTCTGCCCCTCACCCACTCATGCTCACTCTCTCGCTCTCTCTCAAAATAAATAACATTAAAGAAAAAGGCAAGGTGGTAGTGTTATTTCTATGTAGACTGAGTAGGAACAACCAAGGGCTACAGAGGTAAAGACTAGACACGTTCCAAGTTGGCTTAATTTCCAGCCTATGGGGAAAGTACACTGGCTATCGCCTACAGTAACAATTTACACTCCAAAACATAAATCCCAGAGAAATAAGATTTATATCACCTTTTTAAGTCGTGGCTAAAAAAAGAGACCTTATTGTCAATAATTAATCAGATAACTTTAAGCCAGTATATATTTATAATTTAAAAGTTCCAAATCTCAATATCCCTCACATAAATGCTATTTGTGTGTTTATAAACATGTTGGATATACTAGAGAGAAAGAAATACAACATCTGCATTTATAGAAAAACTATGTGATGACACAATTTCCAACTCAAGATTAGCTACCAGAACTCTATTTTAAAATCTAAAACCCCACTAATATCAAACATTCCAAATGAGTAAAAACCTCAGTCTTGAATAGATCTGTCAGAGTGAAAACATACCCTTACAGTGATTTACCCACAGCCACAGGGGAAATACCAATGAAAGAAGACTCAAAATTAAAATCTGCTCAAAATGTCCACAGAACATTTCCATGTGCACAATTTCTACCACCAAAAGCAAATGCTTCGCCTATGAATTAAGTGAATTTGAAGTTTTCAGTCAATGAACAATGGGCTCTCCACAAACTTGGCAGAGGATAGAACTGTGGCGACAGGATTAAGAGGACAAAGGACAGAAATACCCCATTTGCAGCCTTGGCTCCAGACAGGATTTCTCCTCTCCTCCCAACACCCCAAACCCCCGTTTCCGCCTGGGCAGCCATCCATTCCCGATCGAAACATGAAGCAAGAACCAGGGCATTTTGCAACGAATAGCAAAGAGCTAAGAAATGTGCAGCAACACAAAATTGCACCAGGGATGTTGGCAAAGGAAAGTTTTAAATGTCTGTGATTAGGGAAAAGAAAGGTTTCCACAAAACGGAGATAAAATCCAAGTTTTGCAGACGAAGGTACCTTCTGGAGCGGCGTGGAGGGCATCTCGGCGACAACGGCCTTCCAGCATCCCCGGGGCTGCTTCCACTTGCGGATGTTGGGCAGGAGAGGCTGGTTTAGCTCCGTACAGAACTGCAAAGACAGAGCACAAGTTGGTGTGTGTTCGTACTGAAAGCACACCCAGCTGGGGGAAGCTGGAGGAGCCAGGAAATGCCTGAGCCTGACTCGTCAGCCTTATTCAGAGGCTTGTCGGGCTTCATCTCTGTTCTTAGGGTTCGTGAAGATGCAGAGGACTAAAAAAGCCCCACAAATTAAAAAGCAAACTACCTATAAACGCACAATTATCACCTGGGGGGGGGGGGACTCTTAGTTCATAGTAATCAATTCACTTTGTAGCATTCTAGCACAGATAGCTCAAAACAAGCTGTCAGAATCCTTTCGATCCTTGTAAAACCGGTGGTTTCAAGGTCCCAGGAGGGTCTAGATACCAAACGTGGAGGAAGGAAGAGGAATACGTGGGGGTCTTTTCTCCCCCGAGCCTAGCTCACAGGTGGAAAAGCCGCCCCCCCCCCGCCCCCGCTCCATCTAGAACCACCATATGTTCGCTTTGATGCTCTTCCGAGAAGAAAGCCCCGCTGTCGTGGCTCCGACACCCCACGTGTGTTTATAGGCTGTGCTGCTTTTCGCTTGCGCGGCTCCTCCAAAATGGCATGGGAACCACAGAGGGACTTGATCACCAAGGCAAAAGACAACTGCACCGGCCAAGTAAATGAAGGGTTAACAAACTACGTGCTCCCAAAGAGGTGGACCAGCTCCTCGAACTCACGCCTCAGTCACAAGCCAGCCCCTTGACGACGGTTCCTTTGAGGGGGCCCCAGCGTTTGTCACATTTGGGTTTCGTTTGTGAGATGCTCCAGCATCGGATTCCACCCCTTCTGGGGGGACACCGTGTGTCATGCAAGTCGGAGCATGCCAGTCACCCGTTTCTGTGTCCGGCCCTACAAAGTGAGTCTTCTGGCTCCCCTGGGCGCCTCTCCACCCCCTCTCCGGTGAGCTGTCCTCAACTAACCTCACTTCGCTCAGTGCTTCAGCTTACACCTCTGTCCCGAAAGCCCCCAAACCTGTACCTGCGGCTCAGATTTCTCTCCCAAGGTGTGAACGGCATTTCGACAACCTTTTTAACATTTCTACCTGAATGTCTCCACAGAACCACAAGCCCAACGGGGTCACAAAGGGACCTGCCGTTCCCCTCCCCCCATGTCTATCTCAGTTCCCGGTATTTCCATCCTTAGAGCTGCTCTGACTCGTCCCTCTCCTCCTCCGGCCTGGCCCACTGATTCCACCGCCTCATGGGTCCGGAGCTCGCCCTTTTTGTTCTCTAGTCCCCTGGCCGTGGCCTGTTTCAGAGCCCCATCTTCTCTCACCTGGGTCACCAGCAGAGCCGTGAAGTCTTCCTGCCTCTGTCATTCAGTCACCCTCCATGTGTCCTCTGGCTAAGTTGTGATGGCCATGCTGACAGCTGCTATCCCTGTGGTTCCTAAAGTACGGCCCGGGGCCCAGGAGCTTCAACATCACCTGGGAGTTTGTTAGAAAGCCTCTGGCCAGGGTCTGATCCTAGACCGACTGGATCAGAAAGGCGAGTGAGGCCCGGTGACCTGTTGTTAACGAGCCCGCCCTGCAGGTGATTCTGATCCCTGAGAAGGTTGGAGAACTGCAGCTGGCCAGACCCTCACAAGCCTCTGCCCCAGAGGCAGGCAGTGCTGTGGGCAAACAGCTGTCAGCTGCCAGCCCTCTGCAGGAGCACCTCAGCTGCAGAGAGCTGCATTCCTGGCCCCTCCTGGGTGGGGCCTCACACTGCTTAGCTTTAGGAGGGAAGATGAGCATCCCTCCCTGGGCAAGGGAGGAAGCATGGCAGGAGGTCTACTTTAGATACGTGCCATTCTCTCTCAAAATAAATAAACTTAAAGAAAAAAAAAAGAAGAGCAGGGGCGCCTGGGTGGCTCCATTGGTTAAGTATCCTACTCTTGATTTCGGCTCAGGTCATGATCTCACGGTTCATGAGATCAAGCCCCGCATTGCACTCTGTGGTGACAGTGGGCAGAGCCTGATTGGGATTCGGTCTCTCTCTCTGCCCCTCCCCAGCTAGTGCTTGCACGCTCTATCTCAAAATAAATAAACTTTCAAAAATCTTAAACAAAAAAGAGATGTGCTGTTCTTGGGGTTCTGCCTTTACAGTTAGACGGTTAAGTGTCTGCCTTTCCCTGATAGCAGATAACATAAAGAACAGAGACTGTACCCAAGTCACCTTTAAAAAAATTGTTTTATTAAGTTTATTTATTTTGAGAGAGAGAGAGAGAGAGAGAGATTGAGAGAGAATCCCAAGCAGCCTCCGCAATGTCAGCGCAGAGCCTGATGCAAGGCTCAACTCACGAACTGTGAGGTCATGACCTGAGCCAAAATCAAGAATCAAGCCCTCAACCGACTGAGCCACCCGGCACCTCCCAGAGTCGCCTTTATAAAGCTCAGCTGACACTGAGCACGGTGCCCCCTGACACTCACCAAGCCTCTGCTGGTGAACCAGGAAACCAGGGAAGACGGCACTCCCCAGTCCGTGTATGACACACAAATTGGGGGCGGGGGGACTGCTCTTTGCAGCTGATTATCTAAATAATTGCCTCAATTTTAACCTCACTTTGAGTTTGCCTGAGAAGTGTTCTCTTTGGGATTTGATCATTAGGGCTTTTATCGGTTCCCGACCATGGACAGTGTGCTATTCCTAATGAGGGCCTTCACCCCAGATGAATCCCCTTGGCCAGATGGTCTTGGCTGGAAGCCATCCTTGGATGGGAAACGAAGCACTTTGGAAAATGCAGCCGGAATGTATCGACTATAACTTTAGGGAATCTAGCGAGGAAATGGACTCCACAAAGGGTCCAATTTCCTGCCAGGGAATCATTTGCTTGCTGAGTGATCATTAGAGCTGAATCTGAGAATCATTAAAAAGGAGAGAAGCTCCGAAAGTCCATCTGGTGCTTCGCTCTTCTCCACGCAGGGAGTCCCGCACCTGGCTGCTCACCCAAATCTCTCAGGATGCACCCTGGGGAGGCTCTATTTTTAGATACCCCCTCCGGTGATTAGCCAGCCACCCAGATTAGAGAACCCACAGGACCCTGCTGTGCTGGGAACTGCAACATGTAGGAGCCACAAATCACATCTTTCCTAACCCTCAGAGAGCCTTCAGATACCTGAAGACAGGTGAATCTCCCGTTCACGCTGTAAACGCCAGCCCCACTTAAACACTCCCGTTCCGGGCAACGCCACTGTGATCGGAAGGGTTAGCATGCGAAGGAAGAAGGGACACAGGCTTCCATTGCTCTCCATGCTTATGACTCTCAGAGAAGGCCTTTGGAGCCTAAAGTCAGCTAGTCAAAGTGTGATCATCGGTATCGTCTGGGAATTCATGAAACATGCATATTCCCAGGCCCCTCTCAACCTACTGAGTTAGTAACTCCAGGCGGGGGCCAGGTGATCTGCATTTAAACAGCCCCTCCAGGTGCCTTGGATACAATTTTAAAGCTGGTGTTATCAGATGAGGGAAAGACATTCTCCTTTTGTTTTCTATCTAAAAGCTTTTCTTGGCGCCTGGGTGGCGCAGTCGGTTAAGCGTCCGACTTCAGCCAGGTCACGATCTCGCGGTCCATGAGTTCGAGCCCCGCGTCGGGCTCTGGGCTGATGGCTCAGAGCCTGGAGCCTGTTTCCGATTCTGTGTCTCCCTCTCTCTCTGCCCCTCCCCCGTTCATGCTCTGTCTCTCTCTGTCCCAAAAATAAATAAACATTGAAAAAAAAAAAAAAATTTAAAAGCTTTTCTTTCGTGGGTAAACTCTAGGAGATTTAAGGAACCCTAATTCCTGACCTTTAAGGGCTACCTATATTTTGTACATCTGAAGCCTTGATCTTGATAACCTCTCTCAGCCCACAGAGTAGACGATCCCCCCGCTACACCTTCTTATTCAGTATCTCATATTATCAGAGACAATTAATAGTTTAAGGAACCAGGGGAAAATTATTTATGGCTAGAAGCGTTCTATGCCCACATCTGCACGCACAGACCTCAGTGCTAGGTAAGGGGTAGGACTGTCTTCTATTTCTAGGGCTGAAAAAAGAATTGCCAGTTTGTTAACTTAGTTGACTGCACTACCAGTTCACAGAAACACTGAAGAGCACCTTTTAGATTCCTGCTACTCAGAGTGCGGTCCGTGGACCGTCAGCAATGACCTCACTTGGGAGTCTGTCAGAAATGCAAAGTCTCAGGCTCACCCCAGACCTACTGCCTTGAAATCAGCATTTTCTCAGGACCTCAGAGTGATTTACAAGCTTGGCAAGTTTGAGAAGGCTGCTTCGGAGCCTTCCTTGTTTTGTAGACATCGTCCCTATTACCTGCCCCAGCTGGCCTGCATGAGGCGAACACCCTACCAGTTATTCGTGAGTGAACTACAGCACAGAAAGTTTAAGCCATATGTGAGTTTCCAGTCAAGATCACACGGTGGAGAAGAGTTAGAGGAGGGTCTGAACTGAGGTCTGCTTCCCACTGCTCTATCTCCTGGCCAGGCAGGTATAAGAGACGGAGTAGGGCAGGCTCCCAGATGAGGCCAGCCCGCCTTACTGGACGGATCCTTGGGTCCTTCCTCCTGAAAACTTCACAGGAAAACAAAAGCAACCTCTGAGAGCCCTCCCTCTGAACTCTGCCTAAAATTGTTTTATTTAGAACAGCTGGTTCTCAAATTTTCTGCTTCGTCCACATATCAGCAGGTAGAAACAATACTCTTCTAAGTAAAAGAGGCTCACCGGGGCAGAAAGGGTGGAAATGGGGGGTGTGTAGGGTTGGGACAAAATCTCCCAGGGAGCTGACCTGCACAACCCAAAACTACGACCCTACAAACGTATTTCTAGAATCCTGGGGGCTAGCCCACCATCTGCCTCCATCAAAATCACACTGGTTCTTGTTTTTAAAAGCACAGATTTGTGAACTCCATCCCTCACAGAATCGGAATCTCTGAGGTTAGAGCCAATCTGTGCATTTCTCACAGGATCCCCGATCAGCTTTGAAGCATGAGCAACTCAGACAAGGCTCT